CGGAGTCTCGAAGAGAGGCCTCAGACCAGGAGACCAGCGCAGCTTCGAGGTTTGAGGGTGGCTTCAACGAAGTGCTACCCTGGACCAGCCCTGCTTGCAACAGGGCCGCGGTCCCAAAGGGAACTCGCCGCGCCGGATCTCCTTNNGTTTACGGTTCAGGGTTTAGGGTTCCGTTAGGATGCTTAGGGGTGTGCTGGTGCCCGTGTGGGTTATGGGGTTCAGAGGTCCGATGTCAGTTGCGAGAGTTTCTGGTTGCAGGAGTTTTGTACAATCCTGACCATAGTCACCCGTATGGCACTAGTCAAAGAGTAGGGAAGTTTAGATCACAGGGGACACCAGCATACACCGGATGTAGTATCCCAACGACGATATAAAAACCCACAAGGCACCAGCAATTTTACGGACCTTGCCCCAGGACTGCCAAGGGCGAGGCTGGGCCGTCTCGCGCGCTCAAGCTCTACATCCAAAGCGATCAACTGGGCTCTTCGTTTAAGGAGCTTCAATTTAAGTTACCGTAAGAACCAAACTGTAGTAATCTACTATAAGTATAGGTCCACTGAAGTTAAGTCACAATAGTCACTTCGCCAACGCCGGATGGGCAAGTCCCAAAGTTCCAAAGGACCAAACCTCGCATTCAAGCCCATCTAGCAGACCTGAAACCCTGAAGCCAACCGATGAACACAAACCACCACCACGAACCATAACCTTAGACCCCGCCCCCCCCCCCCCCCCCCCACCCTCTCTTTTTGGAAAAACCTCGAGCCCGGATCCTCGTCGTTTCCCAGGGCAGGGCAGAAGACCAAATGCGGGCAGAGGCCGCCTCAAGCAGCAGCCAGGTGGGGGGGGGGGGCTCCCTCCTCGAGACTGTGAGCGCCCAGAGCTTCTGGCTTTTTAGGGCTTTTGATGCGGCTTGCGGCCTAGCATTTTGGGCTGACGGCATGTGACCAAGAGCAGTACCGCCGTTATACCGACCATCAGCGTGGAATGCAAGCGTGCTAGTCGTTGTTCTGTTTCCTCGTGTGGTCACTGCTACAACTAGTGCTGCTGCTGGCTGCTCCTCACTGTCATTCGGCTTCTGGTATGAAACTACGGGTCCTGGGAAGTCATTCCCCAAAGAAGGGCTCAGTGGGAGCAAGATCGCCACATCCTAATCGCGTGACTCTGAAACCGTCCCGAAGTACCCAACGCACCACTAGTGGAGCCGTAAACCAAATCCAGAGTTCGGAAACGTCCTTGGCTCTTACACTTTCCGACGGCTCCTTAGGCCCTGAACTCTCAACCCTAATCTCCGTCCAAAGCACCTCTACCCTAAACCCTAAACCCTAAACCCTAAACCCTAAACCCCAACCCCTTGCGGTCTAGAGCTTGTGGTTCCAGGGCAGCCTGAACACCGTGATGCTACAGCTTCGAAGCACTGGGTGCACCGTAGGAGTGTAGAAGCAACTAGTTGGCAACACTGTTTTTAGAGCTCCTCAATAGAACACTTAAAAAGCACCCCAGAACCGTATTCCAAGGAGTAAGGCCCCTACAGTACTAGGGCCAAGCGGTTAGGCCGCAAGCGCAAGTCAACACCGAGACGTGCACCGTGCTCGTCACCAACGGACATGAGCACCGGAACTTCCTCAACCGTCAGATGCTTTGGAGTCCAGAGTGTTCGGGTTCAGGATTTAGGGTGCGTCGGTTCAGGGATGAGGAGTTTTTTGTAGCTGCAGAAATGGCAGCGTAATGGCAGGGAGAACTGTGGCATCCGAAGCAGCAGCAAACAAGGCCGGCAAGCTGACACAGGACTTCATATATTGTATGTTATGATAGGATGTCATGGACAAGTACAGTTGTGCGATGCCGCAGCTGCCACACTAGCTTTAAGACTTCAGGGGTTTTGAGGTTTGAGGAAACGTCGCCGGTTCTGCTTTTCGTGGGATTGCACAGGGCTTCAGCTTTTATGCCCTCATGAACGACAAGCTCACCGGGAGACAACGAACCTTGAAGGTTGAAACCGGTGGATTATGTTCAAAAGCTCAAGACGAAGTTCTGTCGATCTTTAAAGCTGGCAATGGTACTTCGCTGGTAGCAAACCCTGCTATCCCTGAAACACCTTGAAGAGCACGAAGCCCTCTCCCCGCCTCTTCGTCCGGGGCGATGCCAAACGCTGCTTCATCAGCGTCCTTGTTCTCCTGGCACGAGCACCAGCACAGGGCTTGGAGTCGCAGGTTTCGAGGCTTCGAGCTAAAGCGGGATAACGGCGTGGGATTGTTGTGGCGATGGTGTTGCTACCGATATTATCTGCAGAGCGTGCATAGTCAGTAGCAGTGGAAGGGGCAGTCGTAGTAGTACTACTGCACGTGTCGTTTTCCGTCGCGCGTTTTTTGTGAAAATACGCGTTTCGCCACAGCGGGAGCACATTTTTAAGACTTAAAACGAGGCCTGGAAAAAATGCTATTTTCCGAGCTAGTTTTGTGAAAACCATGGCAGGCGTGGCACTTTGCGAGATTCGGCGTACCACTGTTTTGGG